AGACACAGTGCTGTACATTGTAATATTTCGGCTGCCAGGGCCACTGTGAATAGTGCTTTGACCAGGTCCCAGGAGTCCCCATCTTCGTAGACACATTCATACCATTTTGCACCCACCCAGCCGGGCCAAGGGGAGGCTTCATGAAGATAATTTAACTTGTAGCAAGGGATAGATTCTGTTTCAAAGTTAAGCCTCGTTGTCCTTATAACAGGTTGCCTCTTCAGGTTTCCCACTCATTTCCTGGTGGCCACCCACTGGGTTTCTTTGTCTTTCCAGTGAGGTGCATTTCCCTATAGAGCAGCTCAGTTCCTGGGATCAGCCACCACCCGTGATTGTGTGTGGCTATCCCAGGGTTGGGTCATGTTACCTGCTGCTCTCTGCCAGCTGCTGGAATTGCCCCCTCAGGGTAAGCTTTCCCTGTTCACACTGATAAATAGTGGTAAACACCTCCCCCACACCCCCATCCCTCCACCCCCCACCCCCGCTATTGGCTGCCTTCTCTTGTGGTTATGTTCCTGCCTTAATCTCCATTTCCTGGGGTACCCTTCATCTCTACACCTTCCCATGGGACTCTTGCCTTAGGATTACTTCAGGGGTGAGGGTTCAAGTGAAACCTTTGTTGGGCTTCCCACCCATCTCTCATTCATCCCCTCATTGCTATATAGCTCCCCAAAACCAGAAATTCTGACCTCAGCACCTAACCATGCTTTGAACCTTGGATACTTGATAAATTCTAATCAAAATCATTGACTCCTGGCCAAACCCACTTTCAAGACCCAGGGCCAAAGCTCTCCATCTCGCAGACATCTTACTGTGGTTTCAGATGCCGGTCAAAGCTCTCAGAAAACACTCTTCCCAAATCATGGACTCGCCACTCTGCCAAGAGACACAGTTGGCTGGGTGAGGTCCTGCAGGTAAGCCACTTCTGGTGTGCCCTTTAAAACACCTTTGGGGACAGGGGCCTAATGTGACTCCACAAAGTTACAGTTAAAATCTGAATATAGTTGATGTTCGTCTGCTGTCCTTTCTTCCGAAACATTAAAGAGTGTGCAGGGCCTAAGGGTCATGTGATGTCCAGGGCTTAGAGGCTGGAGAAGACCTGGCCTGGAGCAAATAAACTGCTCCCTGGGCTCTCTACTAGCACACAGCTGCTCATTCTTTCCTGAGGGCCAAGCAGGCTCTTAGGAGACCAGAGCTGCTCCAAGGAGACCAGAGACAGGAATGCCTTTTATTTCGTTCTTACGGCACCATGTAATTTACATATGCTATTTGCATTGATCCACTGTGTGAGGCCGCAGCAATATTAACCTCACTGTCTTGCCCTTGGTTTATGGAGGAGGAACCTGAGGCTCAGTGAAACTGAGTAGCTCTCCCGGGGTGCGGTGGTGGTCAGCAGAGGCAGAGTTCACAACCCTATCTGACTAGCTCTGAGAACAATATTCTTTCACCTGCCCTGGGCTCTTCAGGTAAAGGTGTGTTTGGACTTTGGCAGGGTAGAGTCAATAGTTCTGGACTAGAAGGAAGGTGTCAGTTGGATATTGCTGCAGAGCAAACTGTCCCCCAAACACCAGTGGCTGTAAATTGCAAGCCTTGATTCTTGCAACTCCATCTGTGAGTCAGTGGAGGGTTGGCTAATCCCCAAAGGGCTTCATGGTAGCTGTTGCAGCCTGGCTGGCTTTTGGTCCTTGCTACAGTTAGGGTAAGCTCAAATACACCTGAGATTCATTCTGGGGCCCAAGACAGAGAAGCAATGCTTATTTAAGGCAGTAGCTCTTCTCTGGGTGTCTGTAGGGGCACAAAAGAGTGGACATCCATGTGGGAGAATCCTCAGGCAGCCCCATATCATTGGCCAAGGCAAGTCACATAGTCAGGTGAGTAAGTCAACAGAATGGGAATCATTTTCTGCCTCTAGACCGAGGGATTGCAAGATCATGTGACAAAAGGCAGGCTTCCAATGGAACTGAAGACTGGATGGTCAGACCTGCCCACTGTGGGTGGCACAGGTCCCTGGCTGGGATCCCAGATTGTTTAAGTGGAGAAAGGAAGCTGCATGCATACATTGCTCTCTCCTTGACTGTGAGTGCAATGTAACCAGCTCAGGCTCCTGCTGCTGGTTACACTGCAAACCATCCAGATAGACTGTCACCTGGACCTGTGAGCCAAAGACACCCTTTCTCTCTTAAGTTGCATTTTTTCAAGATACTGTTTTCACAGCAACCAGAAAGAACACTAAGACTGGAGGGATCCCAGGAATCACTCACTCGCAGGGGTGTGAGGTAGGAAGAGAAGGGTGTAGATACAGGGCATTAAAGAGAAAATGGCTACTTTGGATAAGTGGGGGTTTGGCCCTCCTGGAGTGCCTTCTTAGAGCTGTCCTGTCCAGATGACAAGGGTGCTGTTTTCCCAACGACTTCACCCATCTACCGGCCCCCTGGTTGTTGACTGCACAGTTTCTGCTCCTACCTCTGTAGGCTGCTCCTACTCCTGTAGCCAGAGGGACCCTCAGTGGAGGGCATCCTGCGTCCTAGGAGAAACTGTTGAAACTTTCCTGGAAGAGTGAATGCTTGCAGGAAAAGGCATCAATAGCACTGAGGAAAACCTTTTGGAGTTTAAAAAGCCTGTGTAGTAGATTAGCATCAGCTGAGTTATGCTAAATTTAAAAAGCCAATCTCAAAAGGCTACATACTGTGTTATTCCATTTGTGTGGATCTCTAGAAAAGGCAAAACTTTGACAGAAAATCATCTTGTAGCTGCCAGGAGCTGGGAGTGGGGGAGGGGATGGCTACGGAGAGGCAGTGCTGTAGGAAGAGACAAGTTTCACTGTGTGCAGTTGTACCTGAAAACCCCAACAGTGGAGGCCTTAAAAACATGTCTGCATTCTTTGCCGTTTCAAGGAAGAGGGACTTGTTCCCAGGATACTGAATGACTTGCTTCTAAAATCTAGACTATGAGGCCGGGCGGTGGTGGCGCACGCCTTTAATCCCAGCACTCGGGAGGCAGAGGCAGGCGGATCTCTGTGAGTTCGAGGCCAGCCTGTTCTACAAAGTGAGTTCCAGGAAAGGCGCAAAACTGCAGAGAAACCCTGTCTCGAAAAACCAAAAAAAAAAAAAAAAAAAAAAAAAATCTAGACTATGAAATCAGGCAGAAGGGATGTAGCAGGACTTCACAGGAAGCAGCATGGTATTTTCTCTATCTCTGTCTCTGTCTTCTCTCTCTCCTCTCTTCACATGCTGTGCCATGAGCAGCCCTGTGGAAATCCCAGTGATGAGAAAAGAGAGCCAACAGTCATGCAAAGGAGCCTCCTTAGAAGTGGACCCTCCACCCTAGTCCTCGAGGAAGCTACTACCCAACTAACAGTCTGAGGTAAAACCAGCCAGCTGAGTTACCTTCAGAGTCCTATCCCTTAGGACCTTGTACACAGGCTGAGAAGTCCTAATCCAAAACACTTAGACCAGAGGTATTTCCAATTTTAGAGTTCAGATTTAAGACGACTTGCATATTCTTCATTCAAAACCCCTAAATCTGAAACGTTCCAGAGTGAGAAACCCAAGTTTGAAGCATTTCAGAGTTTTAAAATTGGTATTGTTACATTACTGTGTGTGGTGCATGTGTGCCTCAGCGAGCATGCTAGGTCAGCTTTGGGGGATCGTTGGCCTCCTTCCACTGTTATGGGGGCTCTGGGGGCTCAAATGTTTCTAGATTTGCACAGTGCAGTTGCTATCCTTCCCACCCCGTTCCAGATGCTGATTGCCAGGTCACTCTACCTGTAGCAGACTTCTTTTTCAGTTCGTTTGTTTTAAGTTGTTGTGTATTGGGGTAATTTGCTATATAGCAGTTGGTGACTAAGGCACTGGAACTTTAATGCTCATTTAAGAAAAACTAAGCATAGTGTCACATAGGTTTTGGAGAGTTCGACTCGGCGTTATATCATCTAAAGTGAGTGATGGTGGTTTCTGGGTGTGTTTCAAGGTGAATTTGGGTTTTCTTGTTTTGTTACATTCATAAACCCTTAAGATGCTCATGCATCATTAAGGAAAAGCCACATGTGGTGGCTCATGCCTGTAATCACAACTCGGAAGTTTGAGGCCAGCTGAGGTTACATAGTGAGTTCCAAGCCAGCCTGAGTTAGAGAAGGAAACTCTTGTCTCAACAAACAAACAAATTAAAGTGTGTGTGTGTCTGTGTGTATGTGTAAAAATTGGGGAAATGGTTCAGTCAGTAAAGTGTCACATGTGGTGGTTTGAATAAAAATGTCCCCCATAGTCCCACAGGGAGTAGCGCTATTAGGAGCTGTGGCTTTGCTGGAGGAAGTGTGTCAATGGAGGCTGGATTTGAGGTCTCAGATGCTCAAGCCACGCCCAGTGTGACATTCTCTTCCTGATGCCTGCTGATCCAGATGTAGAACTCTCAGTTACTTCTTTAGCCCCATGTCTGCCTGTGTGCTGCCATGCTTCACCATGATGATAATGGACTAAACCTCTGAAATTATAAGCCAATCCCAATTCAATATTTTCCTGTATAAAAGTTGCCATGGTCATAGTGTCTCTTCAATAGAAACCCTAACTAAGACACCACACAAATAGAAGGACCTGAGTTTGGATCCCTAACACCCACATCAAATGAAATCTGGTATGGTGGTATGTATCTAGAGACAGGAGGATTCCTGATACTTGATGGCCAACTAGTCTTGCCCAATTAGTGAGCTGCTAGTTCAGTGAGAGACCTTGTCTAAAAAAATAAGGAAGATAGCTGTGCCAACTTCTGGTGTCAATTAGCACTCCCCCCAACAGGTACACTTGTATATCACACACACACACACACACACACACACACACACACACACACACACACACACTCACATATACTCATACACACACAGACACACTCACACACTTATACACAAATGATAATAAAATTAGAAACACAAGCAACAACTTGGAGCCTGGGTGTAGATGGTGATGGTATCATTTATCTGGGGTAGAGCAGCCAGGCCAGGGTGTTTACAGGAAGCAGGCACACCATTCCTTCAGGCAGGTGGAGCTCTGGCGGGCTTCGTACTCCGTGGCACCACAACAGCAGATGATCCACCTCTGGAATTCTGCCTCATTCTTGTGCATCAGAAGGAACTGTCCCAGCAGGATGTAGGCCTGGGAAGAGGGTCAGGTGGGAGGAAGACGGGTTACCAGAATCCTACTCCGATGTGCCTGACCTCTTCCTACCATCAGTACTCAGCTGTCAATCAAAGGTTGGGGTGTGGGTCAGACGGGGAAGGGTCCCTTGTCAGGTCAACTCCTGACAAGCCCTGGGGAAAGGTGAGGTCAAGTTAATCACATGCATCTCTTAGGCCTGGTCTAGGGACTGTTATCCTGCAGTGACAACTAGGCCTTTCCTCAAACTTGAAAAAATTCTCTGGAATCTTGTAAAGGAGAAGTTTCTGACTCAGTATCTAAAACTAGGGCGGGATCCCAGAATCTCCATTTCTAATAGGCTCCCAGATGAGTTTGGGCCAATGACAGTGTCTTGGGGGGATAGGGCGTAGGTGGCGAGCATACCTCTGAACTCCTTTTAGGCTGGTCATTTAATCTTTTCTTTGGTGGTGGTGGTGGTGGTGGTGATATGTGTGTATGTGCACACTGTGGATTAAATCCAGCGCCTTGCATGTGCTAGGCAAGTACTCAACCACTGAGCTACTTCTGCAGTCCAAGTAGTTCCTTCTTCAAAACACATCCAAAGCCGAGCTAGAGTGTGACTCCCTAGCCCAATGCTTTCTTGACGGCTGGAATATAGGGCACTTCAACCTCAGCACTCCTAGCACGCTGGATGATTCTACATTGTGGGGCCTGTCCTGTGAACTGCAGGACATTTAACAGCATCTGCTATCCCCCAGTTCCCAAGACAGAAGAAATCACAAGGATTCCAGATATTGCTGAGAAATCTTTCTCACTTGAGAACTGCAGGTGTGGCTGGCAGGTGAAGGGCATGGTAGCATCCATTTGGCTCTGCAAACTACCTGTGTGATTTTAGTATCTCAGCGGGAAAGGAGAGTCACAGAATCTGAGGCCCAGCACTGCTCTGCCCTGACTGAGTGTGTGTCAAATGGGAAGGCAAGGGAAGACACATGCTGAGGAGAGTCATCCCCGAGGGAACAGCACAGACGGCAAAATCATGCTTAACCTTGACCCTCTTTTTCAAGCCTCGGACTGGAGCTGTATCACTAGCCTCTCTCTGAATGAGCTTTTCTGCTTCACAGACTGAGCAACAAGCTACCAATTTCCCTGTCTCTCCAGTCTGTGGACAGCCAAGGTGGAGGCTCCAATTGTGCGAAAATAAATAATAAACACATCTCCTCTAATAATTATATATAATCTCCTGGTCCTGTTTCTCTGGAAGCTCCTGATAATGTAATTCCCGAGAATGTCTGTGGATAAAAAACACATGAGCAGAGTATAATGGCACAGATATATGAAAATGCCACCGCAGGAGCCGTCACTTTGAATGTTAACTCTAAAACTTAATTTAAAAAATTAGAGACTGGGGAAATGGCTCAGTGAATAAGAACATTTTTTTGTGTAAGCATGAGGCCCCGGGTTCAAGTCCCAAGTGCCCACATAAAAAGCTGACTGTGGTCATGCATGGACATCTAACCCTAGCATTGTGGAGTCAGAGATCTCTGGGGCTTGCTGGCCACCTGCCTGGCTACAGATTCAGTGAAGACCCTGTTTCAAGAAAGTAAGACAGTAGAGCAGGACAGCTGACGTCCTGCCCCAGCCTCTGCATGTACACCCATGTGCATGTAATACACATAACACACACACCCCAAAACAAAAAAGGGAAAATGTATAACACATAGAAGGCATAGATATTAAGTGCACCCTGATTCCTGGTTCTACAGCAATTTTGTAGTCGTGAGTTTTCTGCCTGCTTGCCCCCCACAGCTCTCACGTCGTCACCAGACTGTTATTACCAAGGAGCAAGACAGTAGAGCCCTGGATGAGATAGTTACTACACAGCAGAGACTAGATTTCAGGTCGCAGTATCTATCCATCGCTGGGGCCTGGTTTAAGGGCTCTCTCTCTAGCCAGGAATGAGGGAGATTCAGCTTCCATCCACACCTTCAAGTTCCGGATCCTTCCTAGGAAAACCTGCCGTTGGCTCTGTGTTGACTTTCCATTACATAAAACAAAGCAAATTTCATCTTAGTCAAAGGGGATATATAAATGTGTGTGTGTGTGTGTGTGTGTGTGTGTGTGTGTGTGTATGAAATCGAATAAAAGCTGAATCCTAGTCACAAAAGGTGCGCGAACATTAGAGTTTGTAGGTGTTATTTTACTTATTTGTAGTGGAGCTGGGATAAACCCAAGGCTTTGCTCACACTCCACAAGTACTCTACCACTGAGCTCCCCGCTGCCCTTCAGGGCTTAATTTTAGATATTGCTCAGTTGTTGAAAAGAGAAAGGAGCTATGGACTTGCCTGCAGTGATTTTAAGGCACAACTTTATTTAAAAAATATAAAACCCAAAGCCAGTGTCTTAGCACAATCTCATTTTTTATCAGTGTCCTCCCATTTTCGCGGGTGGATTTCGCTGAGATGGTTTTAAATCGTGATTTCGCAGCCCTGGCAGGCACTGAGTGGTCACCCAGGCCTGTGCTGCAGTTGTAGAAGGGCCTGGGTGAGTACAACAGGGTATACACAGAGCTCCACAGGAGAAGAACTATCAGGGAGATTTGTAACAGCACGCTGTAGGGCTTAGGGATTTAGTTAGTAGCAGAATTCTTCCCTCGAAGGCATAAGGTCTTCAGCACCAGGACAAAAAAATAATAATAATAATGACAAATAGCAAGTGATGCTTTTGAGCCCTTTGGCAGGCCACCCAATGGTGGAGACCCCGACACGTATTAAATCAATCCGTTTGATTCTCATGGGTGTTTGATTCTCATGGGTGTTCTGCCCACCCATTCTTTAGATGGTGTCCCTTGTTGAGAGGTTGAGACTCCCTCCTCTGTCCACCCTGTTCTTCCATATTCCAGCCATCTGTAGTCCAGTCTGGAGACAAGGCATCCTCTGCCTGTTTCTGAGGCTGGCCACGGCCTCAGCTGGTGTGGTAATCAGAGCCTCTGTAGCCTGCAGGGCTCAGCGGCCAGGAAGCCCAGGAATGTGTGGCAGGCGGGACCCAGGCAAGCTTTCCAGGAACGTGGCAGGGAGAAGGGTCTCTGAGCCAAGTTGCAATCTGAAACTCCATCCTTCTGGGCTTTCCCTGGAGTCCCACACTGGCACCTTCCAGAGAGCCCAGAGATGGACTGCCTTCTTGCTTTATCTTCGAGGGTGTCACATGAGTCCAGGACTCTGGTCTTGATCAATCAATGACTTTTTGGTTTCCCCACTACTTCCAGAAAATGAACCCCTGACCAGAAACCCTGAGGCAAGGAGGGTGGTACAGAAACACAGACCCCCAGGCAGGACTTTATACTTTCTGTCACACTGGCCAGTGGCCATGCCACAGCCTGGGACATACATTTCTTCCTGCAGTAACAGATGGTGGCTCAAGGGCAGACTTGCTCTCAACTCCAAGTCCACCCAGGGAAACTCTGCCAGGGTCTTCCCCCAAGTTGTGTGAATTGGTCTCTTATGGCTAGTGTCCTTGTTAAACTGCAGCGATTTGAATCTGCCCAGAGGCTGATCCGTGTAGTTGCCTGGGACCCTGCACACAGAACATCCGTAGACTCCTTTTAATGCTATGCTGTCTTGATACATTTACACTTGATTTCAGCCCAAAGGCTGGGAAGTGATAAGCCTTAATACATTTAAAAAGATCTCATCTTGTCATTCTGCATTGGGCCTTGCGAACCAGGTAGCTGGCCCTAGTCTGCACTCATTAAAATGTTGACTCTTCATCATGGCACCTGGCCTTGTCAGACTGAGATGAGCTGTAGTGGCTTCTCTTATTATCAAGCTTCTAGCACATTCCTTTGCCCTTGATCAACAGTTCCCAAGCCCCCATACAGAGTGTACCTCCCACTGTTGCAAGACACTGCTGTGATTGTATGACTCTTCTGGTTTCCTTTCAACAAACATGCATGCTTTGGTCTTCAGTAGACATATCCAGGGGTGCCCTTGCAAACCCAGTATTTCTGAGTCACTCCAAGCTTAAAACACCGAGTCTTCAGTGTGAGTGATCAATCCATACAGGTTCTGGCCCTCTTGCCTCTTCTCTGTGCTCCTGAGACATGTTCATATTATTACATTATTCATTTATTTCTACAAATTCGACTTCCACTGGATCCCTTGTATTTTATCTCACCACACTACGTAGAGTAACCTCCAAGCTTAAGTGACTGGTTCCTTGCAAGGTTCATATGCCAGTGGTAGGTTCCAATGCTAGCAGAGGACAGGAGAAACTGGGTTCCTCAGCAGTTCAGCCTTAAAACCTGGGGACATGAGGAAGGCAGCAACTGGTAGTCCTGGGGCCTCCTGGTCCTGAGCTCAGCCTCCTGGCCTCTCTTCACACTACAACAGAGTGACTTTGGGATGAAATTGGCCATTTCAAGGACCCCGGGTTGGAAGAGGGTGGGTCCACAGATGCTCATGCTCGCAGTCTGACTTTATGTGTGCATGGCAGTGGGTAGGGAGACAGAGCTCCAGCCTGGCTGTGCCAGGTCTGACACCATGTGCATGATGGATTTTTCCACTCACATTATCCCTTTCCACCCAGCAGCTCTCCTGCCACTGTTAAATCTTGACCACTGCTGTCCAGGAGAAATAGTAGATGAGCCAGCCACGTAAGTAATTTTAATCTTCTAGAGGCCACAGAAGGAATAAGGGGGAAGGAAAAAGGCGAATGCATTCCGACGATATACTTTATTTTCTTCCATATTTTCAAAATATTATTTCAGTGTGTAATCAATAAAAAATGTTATGAGATGTTTCACATTCTTTTTTAGGGGAAGGCTTTAGCATCAAAGAGCATGTTTGATATTTTTAGCCCATCTCCATGCAAACAAGGGCTTAGCAGACACAGGGCCAGTGGCTATCATTTTGCATTTAGGTCCTCAGGCAAGAGTTGATTGCCCCAGTGATCGGCAGGTGCTGAGTAACTAGCCAGACCTGTCTGTCACATGCTTTGGCCTCTGAGCCCCTGAAGAGGTTCAGGTGAGTCAATAGTTAATGTTTTCTTCTTTAAAAAAAATATCTTGTGTGTGAGAGAAAGGAGGAAGAGAGAGCAAGCAAGTGTAGAGGGCGTGTGCATGGGCACTTATGTGCTATAGCAGCACACATTCGTAGAGGTCAAAGGACAACCTCAGGTGTCAATCATTGCCTTCCAGTTTGAGACAGTCTTGTTGGCCACTATGTGAGACAGAAGCCTCCTGTTTCTGCCTCCCAGCTTGCTGTATGCATGTATTACAGACACATGCTACCACACTGTGCTTTGCATGAGTTCAGGGGATCATTCTCAGGCATGGCAAATAATTTACCCCTTCAGCCATCTCCCCAGCCCATGTTTTCTTTTTGAAGCCGGACTTCACTGTGTTGTCCAGGCTGGTCTGGAATTTATAGGCTGAAATAACTCTCTTGTCTCAATCTCCCGGGTCAATGAGCCTACAGGCATACACTCCTGTACCCTGTGAAGAATCAATAGTTTTAAAAATCATGGTTTAACCATGAGGGGTAGACCAGTAAGTAGTCTGTCTGCTGTAGAGGAGGAGACACACGTCCCGTTTCTTCATGCCAGCCATCTGCTGAAGCGAAGGAAGTTCAGCACTGGGGCAGGGGAGAAGGTGCTAGAAGGTCTGGTGAGTGTTAGGGAAGATGTCTGCTCAATTCAGGCCACACCCCTAGAGAGGCGATAGATGTGTGGGGGCATCCTTGCTGACTAATTAATGATTTCTTGTTCCCTGTGCATTCAGCAGCCTGGTGGCTCTGGAGAGAGCTGGTGGCCCAGTAAAGAGCCCAGGCAAGCAGGTGTGAGGGCAGCCCATGGAGCTGCATCCCACTAGCTACTTAGCACAGGCACAGAAGGAGCTGAGAGAGCCACTGCCCCTGGGAAAATGGCAAGAATGTTTTGCAAACAAGTGTGACCCCTGAGGCAATATTTGTTCAGGGCAAAGATGAGAACTCAGCCTGGGGAGAGAAGAGGAAGAAAATGATGGCCGCACTTCAACAGAGGCTGGTAAAGACAGAGGTTGGGATGAGGCCCTGAAAGACCCCCCCTCCCTGTAGGTCCCCTGTGGGCAGAAAACGAGTACCCCATGGGCTGCATTTTCATCGACTAGCCCCGAGATCCCTGCCTTATGGAACCTTCTTATCTCGGATCTGTCATTCTGGCCGTGCCCACAGATCCATCAGCATCCTGATGCATTTGTTCACCTTGTAGGTGACACACCTGAGCATCCTCCTGGGTACTCTTATGGGCCCCGTCAGGGTCTGATGGGTCCCAGGTGCTGATGTGGAATATAACTATCAAATCTTTTTTTTTTTTTTAATAACTGCCAAATCTTAATTAAGCCCCTCCCTGCTGGATATAAGTGCATGAATCTTCGTGTGTTGTTTATGACAGTACAACCTGTGGCATTCTCATTCCCACTGGGGATCTCACAGAGGCAACTCCCAAAGCCTCTGCACTGCATTCTTATTTTACCTGACTTTATTACTTTGTGTTGTGTTATATCTTAATGTGGTATTGGATAAGGACCCCAGGTCCTCTCAGGTGCTGGGCAAGCACTACCACGGAGTCACACTGGTCATGCCTCCATTTGCACTGACCTTTAAAGGTCGAGAAACTCAAATCAAAGGACAACAATTACCAGCCCCATCAGTGTCAGGAGTCAGTAGCTCTGGGAATGCTCAGGGCCCTGAGCGGAATGCTGGACACCGTGCTGGTCAGTTGGTCATGAGCATAAAGAGAGTTCTTGTCCATGTACTAAGATGCCCATAGGAACTCCCTGAAGTCCTGTGTATGCCAGAGTCAGGAACCTGAAACATGTCTGTTTATTCATTCATTCCGTTATCTCCACCACATCTGTCTCTCTACCTATAATCCTTACTTAGAGCAGAGTTCAGCAGGAGAAGGCAAGACTATACCATAAAACAAAGCGAAAGTTGGCAGGGAAAGAGGATGCTGTTTCACAGGGAACGACTGGAGAGTTGGGGCTGCTCTTTGTCTTGGGTAATGGCTACCTGACCATGCATTTGTAGAAAGTCACAGAACTGCTGTGTGTAGTGGCATATGTCTGTAACATACAGGAAAATCAGGTAGAAGAACCACAAGTTTGAAGCTAGCCCAGGTACACAATGACGCGCAAGCCAGCCTGAATCCCCAAACCCTATCTCAAAAGAATAAACAGACAAAAGTCATAGAACTACGTGATTTAAAAGGGATAAAATCATTGCACACAATTATACATCAATAAGAATATTTTTAAAATGTTGAACATAAAGGAACAACCCAGTTATGGGAACATGGTGGATAACAGAACAATGGGCACCTTTGGGGATGGGATACGTTCTGGTTGGGAGGAGGTATTGGAGGCCATCTGGAAGAAAGTTGGGCGGTATCCAGTCCCTGGACCTAGGTAGTAGGTACATGGGTATATCTATCTGTGTAAAAAATGTACTGGGCCCTACACTTCATACTGTGTGTACTATACACAGTAGAGGAATGTGTTGCTTAATCTTCATTGTCAACATGTCTGGATTTGGAATCCCCTAGGAGACACACCTCTGAGCTTATCTGTAAAGTTGCTTTAAGAGAGAATGAACTGAATGCTGCAGGACTAGCCACCCTGAACGTGAGTTGCATCATCCTATGGATGGAGGGCAAAGGAGGAAGCCAGAGGAGCACGGGCATTCTCCTTCCTCTGCTTCCTGGTGACGTCACAGACCATGCCTTCCCCACCATAATGATTGTATGACTGAACGCTGAGACAAAACAAGCTTTCCTTTGTGTTAGGTATTTGGTCACAAACAGGAGAAAAATAACTAATGTAAAAAAAAAATAATAAAAGGAAAAGAATGATCACCTCTTAAAAAAAAAAAAAGCTATGTAATTTAAAAATTCTCCCTTAGACTGGCCTCCTTCATTTAACTGCTTGGGAATGGTCCTCCCCGTTTATCAGAGAAGAAAGCATCAAGTCCCCTCAGCCATGTGACTCACTCTGACAGTACCACGAAGTGAATATTCACTTGGCTGAGTAAGGGGGTGAGATTCACAACACATAATAACAGGTACAGTGCAGCATGCCAGTCAGAAACCATAGGCCCAGATGTTAAGATTTGGGTACAAGACAAATATAATGTCAGTCACATATACACATGCAACAGTTCTGGGCCTTTAAATGTTTTTGTTATATTAGTGGAAGATAACTTGATCATTAATGGCATTGCCCTTGGAAGGGAACAATATAGCTCTCATAGGACCCTGATTAGTTCTTAAGAGAACAATTTGTATAAAAGGGGCATGAATGGGGCCTTGGGGATATAGCTTATGGCAGAGGACATGTTTAGCAAATGGAAGTCCCTAAATTCAATCCAAAGCACCAAAACAAAGGAATAAACAAAAGAGCAGAACGGTCCTTTTGCACCCTCTGGCTTTCTATTTTACCCTGTGATCTCCTCACACCAGCTCCTGCCCATGATACCGTGCTGTGATGTGGCTGGGAGGGTCCTCACCAGAGGTCAAACACATAATGTCACCCAATATCAGACTTTTGACCTCCAAAACTATGAGCTAAGTAGAAATCCTTTCTTTATAAAGTCCCCAGAGTCAAGCATTTTGTTACAGCAATGGAAAGTAGACTAATACATTCCAATCCCAATGGCTATCCCCGAGGCCATTCTCAGGCTAGGGACAAATCTTAGAATAACTCTTCCCTCATCACCTAGGTGGAGCTCCCAGACTGCTGGCTCTCAACATGCCATTGTCATGCTGGTGCCCAGACAGAGACAAGCAAGAAGCCATGGACCCTGCCCCGGAAGTGGAGAGTGCACCCAAGTCATCGATCCTGACAGCTCTGTCCCAGGTTTCCGTAGCAGGCCTGGCTCTGTCAAGTCCTGGGTGTTTGAGTACTGAGCTGACCCTGTCAGCCTTGGCTGCTCTGCACAGAAGCAATTCTATTTGCCATCATCTACAAGCCTTGGAGACTCCTAAGCACATGAGGTTGGTGGCGTGAAGTCCGTGGCATCCTGCCAAGTGGCAGCTTTTTTCTCTGATGGCCACTCACTGAGGCACACGGCAGGGGCTGCCATCTGGCTAGAGGAAGGCAGGTTAGGAAGGAGAGTTAGGGAAGAAAAAACAAGGTACCTTGTTGAAACCTTTGGTGACCAAATTGATGGCAAGCTCCCGGCTGACTCCGTCCACCCAGGCCACATCCTTCTCCCCAATGGGTTCAGAGAGGAAGGCTCTCAACCTAGGAGACATGTGGTCCATCTGCTGCAACAGATACGGGAAGGAGAAAGGGTTAGATGTCTGATTGCTCATACTACAGTGGACGTTGGGGAGGTCCTTCTGTCTAAGGGACGGAGGGCAACAGATGGCAGGCTGGCGTCTATCACTCCACATCTACTGGGGACTTTGAAATACCAGGTGTGCTGTCCTGTGCTGGAGGCCTTTACACTTCCATTCCTACCTGGATGGAGGAGAAGTGTGCTTGATGGCTGTGGTTGAGTTAGATCAGTGCAACTCCATGACAAGTGAAGGCAAGCTAAGTGCTAAGAATTCCAAGCTCCTTTCCATCTCTTTCACCCAACATTCAAAGAAACAGTTGCTGGGCTGGTAAGAGGACTCTGGGTAAAGGCACTGGCCACCAGCCTGATGACCTGAGTTTAATCCTCTAAACCAGTGTGTGGTGGTTAAGTTTTAAAGATCAACTTGCCACAATTTGGAATCACCTGGGAAGAGAGTCTGGATGAGGGATTGCCTAGATCAGGCTAGCCCATGGGCATGTATGTCTAGAGGGGATTGTATTGTTCATTGACGTAGGAGGACCTGGCCCACTGTGGGTGGCTCTGTTCCCTAGGCAAAGGCTGCTCAACCGTGTAAAACAGAAGGAAGCTAGCTGAGCAGGCAGGTAGCACGAGTGTGGTCTTTTCTCTCTGCTCTTGATTGTGGGCGAGGTATGACTAGCTGCTGAGTTCCTTCCTTGACATCCCCTCATGCTGTGGGATGTTCTGTATGGCAAATGTGTTGCTAATTAGTCAATAAATAAAACACTGATTGGCGATTGGCTAGGCAGGAAGTGTAGGTGGGACAAGGAGGAGAATAAAGCTGGGAAGTGGAAGGCTGAGTCAGAGAGACACTGCCAGCCGCCACGATGACAAACAGCATGTGAAGATGCCGGTAAGCCACAAGCCATGTGGCAAGGTATAGATTAATGGAAATGGATTAATTTAAGCTATAAGAACAGTTAGCAAGAAGCCTGCCACGGCCATACAGTTTGTAACCAATATAAGTCTCTGTGTTTACTTGGTTGGGTCTGAGGGGCTGTGGGACTGGCAGGTGAGAGAGATTTGTCCTGACTGTGGGCCAGGCAGGAAAACTTAAGCTAGACCCTCATGATGGTAACCTGGAACTGTAAGCTGAAATAAATCTTTTCCTCCCCAGGTTGCTTTTTGTCCATGATTTGCCACAGAAACAGAAATGAAGTAGTCTTCCGACTTCCTTATGCCTACCGTAGCACATGTACCCACCACCACACTAATGATAAATGTAAAGAAAAATTTAAAGAAAATGTCATAAGGTAAGACTTTTTTGGGGGTGGGGAAGAACTGCTTTCTTTGGCTAACTAGCCTGTCCTCTCTCTTAGCCACCTGATTTTGTTTTTTTTCTTGTCAGTCTGTGTTTTAGCTTTTATCAAACTCTGCGATGGTTGGCAGATAAGGCATCATAAAGAGCCAAAGTCCAGCCTGAGGGTGGATGTGGTACAATCGAGGCAATCCCATTTCTTTATCAAGACTGCTGTCATAGCCCTTATCCTGAGCCCCTCCTGTGAGATGTCCACACAGGGGCTGGGAGTGGCACTCAGCGGTAAGACACTTGCCTGATGGTCATGAGGCCCTGGGATAGATCTCCAGAAGCTAAAACAAACATTCGAAACCACCCACCAGCAAACAAACAAAAAAACAACTCCTCATGCTCTGGACTCTGTCACAGTTTGAAATGTCCCCCACCAGCTCATATTTTGAACGACTGGTCCCCAGCTTGGGGTACTATTTCGAAGGCCGCGGAGCCTTTAGGAGGAAGGGCTTTGGCTGAAGAAACTAGGTCACAAAGGGTAGGGGCCTTTGAAGGTCAGACCCTCCACTGCTTCTGGCTTGTGTTCTCAGCTTTCCAGTCCGCTACAATGTGAGGAATCCTTGCCAGGCACTCCCACCACCAAGAGCGGCTCCTATCATGCTTTTCCTGCCTCAACGGACTGAAGTGTTTCTGAAACTGTGTGTCAGATATTCTGTTACACTCTCTCAAGAAGAAAAGAGTTACCTGTGCCCCTGACTTCCTTCTCACCCAACTTTGTTGGACCCAAGCCCGCAGCCCATTGGATGGGATCATTTGTGTTCAGGTCAGCCCAGCCCCTGTCCTTGCCCATATGTCCATCTTCTCTGGAAACACCCCACAGACACCAGTTCTGGACACCTCCTAATCCAGTCAGATTAACACAAGTGATAGAACACCTTGCCTGGCATTCACAACACCCTGGCTTAAACCCTCAAAGCTAGGGAATTTGGGGGATATGCGTTGCCTCCTATCACAGCTCTGTCAGCACAAGGTCTATGTCTCAGCACAGCCAGGTTTTTAGTAGAGCAAAGATCACCACCTTCCTTGCTGCACTGGGATGAACGTCTCTTCTCAACCGATCCCACATTTGAGGCTTGTTCATTGCAGAATCCTTTTCTCGATGTCAATTTCTGTTTCAGTTTGTGATTTGAGCGGGGGGGGGGGGATCCAGTTTAAAATGGCTCATACAAGATGGAATTAGCACACGCTATCAAAAAGTCCAAAAGTGGTCAGACATGTTTGGATCAACATAGCTCTCTTGACTCAGCCTTCCTTTGTTCATCAGCTCAAGTCTTAGCTTAAATTCTCCTCAGAGTTAAGCTGGTTGCACTAGAGCCCACCATGGCTTTTGCAAGCAGCACCCCTCTTCCAAAAAGAAAACAGAGTTATTTTTCCCTAAAAAGCCTTAACAAATGCTTTCTGTAGTCCATATTGTCATCCCCGAGGCCCTATAATAGAAGTTCTGGCCTGATGTGCATGTACTTCCTCTAGGATTGCGAAGCTCTTGAGCTGCCTGGGTCCAGGGTGCTGGGTCAAAAACTGGGATGTTTACCATGTTGCTAGGGATGATTACCCAGCATCAGAACAGGGCAAGAGAACATCTACCACAGAAATCCTCAGTAGATCATGAGGACTCAAGGGCTGCTGTTGCCTCCTCATGGCCTTCTCTCCCCACCGCAGCCTGGTGCTTAGGGTACCTTGACTGACACATGGTAGACACTTGACAACATAAACATGTGATCAGATACATCCAGCCTCTCCGTTCCCGTCTCCACCCTCCTGACCTTTGTGCCAAGCCGTTCTCCTCTTGTAAGCCTCCTTGTCCTCCGGTTCGTTTTGGAACACCTTAAGTTGAAACCAAACTCTATGAGAAGAGATGGATCCGAAGGCTCCAATTTCAGAGGGCTTTGTGTGTCAGTAGACCCTAGGAAGGAGAGAAGACAGGAGAGGCTGTGGAGGGTCCTCTCACACTGCTGCTCAGATCTGTAGACGCATGAACCCTAACCACGACATGGAGGGCTTCAACCACTCTTTTTATCTGTGTATTGTTTCCTAATACAAAAGCCTGCTTAGGGCCAGCATTAGCAGATGAACTCCTCAGCACCCTTGGATCGACAAGCTAATGGTTGGAATTAGTGGTCTGCTCGGACGCAGGCCAGGCTCAGGATTTCTGAATGAGGAATAGCTTGGAAGTCCCATGGGCCAGGCTAACTTTGCTGAGGGAAAATTCCACCTACTATCCACCTTAGCCATCTGTTAAGATAAACCTCCCCCACGATACCGAACAACAAATGGAAACTACAACAATGTTATCAGTGTGCCAGCCCCATCAAAGACCCGAACAATTTCTGTGTTTGTTTTTCCCACAGCTGAACCCACTCAGCGCCTTGAAATACCTCCAAACACCTCTAAGGAGATGGCAGGAGCGTGTCTCCTCTCTAGGCCCACAGCAGGGATGGCAGTGAAAGGTCTTGGTGTTCTTTAGGATGACTTCAGTGGATCTCGCTCAGGTGAACGGCCTCCACAGAAGTAACTCTTTTTTGTTTGTTTGTTTTAAATGCCAGTGTAGAGCAGAGGTTTTATTTTAATTTATTATTTATTTATTTAATGTGCATTGGTGTTTGGCCATGGGTTTGCCTCCAGGATTGCTTGGAGCTGGCATTACAGAGAGTTGTGAGCTGCCATGTGGGAACTGGGAATTGAACCTGGGTCCTCTGGAAGAGCAGTCAGTGCTCTTAACCACCGAGCCATCACTCCAGCCCCCCACAGGAGTAATTCTTGATTGTCAAAATGGGAGGCCAGTGGGTAGGGGGACGCTACTGGCATCTAACGGGCGAGTCCACAGACACAAGAAAACTTGCTCAGGGCAGTCCCCACAATCTAGAATTATCTGGGATAGCCGTGAAAGCACAGACAGATGAAGAACCATCGGTGGGTGAGAGGAAGGCAGGCTGGGGTAGACTCGGGAAGTGGCGGGACAGCTTCGAGGGGTACTGAAAGGAGGAGGGGCTGTTTGGAGAGAGGAGACTCCACTGGCCAGGGGGTTCTTTCAGAGATTTTAGGGTACCCCAGTCAATTCTCATATGGGTACTTTCCCTTTATAAGCATGGACCTGGCCTTTAGGGGAGGAGAGAGGGAGGGAGGGAAGGACAGGGAGGGAGGGAGGGAGGGAGAGAGAGGGAGAGAGAGAGAGAGAAAGAGAGAGAGAGTGAGCCCAGGTTCAGGTGTTATTCTACAGACCACTATAGATGTAACCAACCTTCTTATTAAATAAGAAACACAGAACCAATGCAAAGAAGAAAGCCAAGAGGTCAGAGCTAAGAGCTAAAACCTTACCCTTCCTCCTGCGGTGGTCCTACCTCTCTGAACCAGAGCTACCCCTGTGTTAAAGTCTTTATATAGAGTTCCTGTTCTGCCTTCTCATTGGTTGTAAACCCAACCACATGACCGCCTCCTCACAGCCTGTCTGTATAGACCTCCAGGTTTTCCATGATTGGTATTGAGATTAAAGGCATGTGTATCCAATAATGGCTGTATCCCTGAACACACAGAGACTTACCCAGCCCTGCCTACCAAGTGCTGGGATTACAAGCGTACGCCACCACTGCCCTGCTTTCCTATGGCTTGCTAATAGCTCTGACCCCCGAGGAACTTTATTTATTAACATACAAATAACATTTTAATACAAATAAAATATCACCATAGACCACCACACACATTTTACTTAAAGATGTAGATAGTGAGTTGTTACTGGTTTGGACAAATACTTGATTCTCATATTACATAATGTAAAAGAGTCTGAAGGAACTAAAGAAAGCTAGGTGGGACCATGCTAAAAGGGCCTAGTGTTCTACTACAAAGTATCTACTAGAAGCTGTTAAGGTCTTGAGCTGCTGTAGGAAAGGCAACTCAGCTGTTTGGACTGGGAGAATAGTTCTAAGCCATTTGTCCATATTACTTTAATGACCTTTATATTATTACCAGGGGACAATAAATGCTGTGAGATGGTTCTGTTATTACTAATAATGATAATTGTTTGGTCCTAAACCACTACACACTTTGTGGTTTGATTGGGAATGTAATCAACCCAATCACTATGAAAGTGGTTGTTTGGAAATTTCTCAAAAAATAAAAGCAGAATTACCACATGACCCAAATATACCTACCACTCCTGGACAGAGACCTGAGGGAATCTAAGTCAGCAGGCCACAGAGACACCTGCTCACCCATGCTTACTCTAGCGCTATTCACAATAGCCAGGGTACGGAACCAGTTTAGATGCCCACCAACAGATGAATACATAAAAAATGTGGTCTGTATACACAATGGGGTTTTGTTCAGTCATTATGTCATTTGCTGTGGGAAAATAGACACAACTGGGGATCATCCTGTTAAACAAAAAATCCAGACACAGACAAATATTGCATGCATTCTCTCATGTGCAGAATCAGATTGAAAAAAAAAATAGAGGGGGACTATGTGAGAAAAAGAAGGGAACAGGAGGAGGGGGAGGAGGTGTCAGGGAGAATGTGATCAAAGTATGTTATATATATGTGTGAAAATGTCATAATGAAACACTGCTTTGTACATATTTTAAAAACACATTGCTTATAAAAAGGAAATCTTTGGCCCTAAATATTAATAGTGATAAGGTTAAAGACCACGGGCTATAAATAATAGAAACTATGGATTCAAACACTGTTAGACAGTAGATCCACTCTCAATCTCACATAACCAAAAAAGATTCTAATGACAGAGATTTGGGATTTTGTCAATTGGTGTCTCAATAGTCTCATCAGGACCAGGTTTTCCGTCCTCTGGGTTCCAAGATGCTGACAGAATTTTCTCTGATCCCTTCTGCCCAAAGGAAGGTGGCTCCATTTCTCCTTGAGTGTTCCTAAAGGGACATCATCTTCCCTTAGTTTCAAGGCCTAGAATCAGACAACATGGCCACCTCCCTCCTCATCATGTCATTGGCCTAGAGAGAGATCATCACAGGGTGGTGAGCTCAGTCTCCCTGAAGCTCAGCCAACGGCAGCTTCCTGATAGGAAGGGCGGAAGAAAAGAGCAGATGCTTGAGAGTCAAACATCATCTTCTAATAGTCCAGCACAGACAGGCTTCTTTCAAAATCTGTGCAGGGACTACCTGGATCCTTGTTGAAAACACCACAGGCATGGGATGGACCTTGGGGTATGTGTTTGCAACAGGCTCCATGGAGGGACTAGGATTGCTGGTCTACAGGTCATATGTTGAGCAAATCACCACATGATGTTACACATTCCTTTTATGCTATGTATTACATAAAACTGCCCTCTTGGCCTGATGAGATGGTTTAAAGGGGGTAAAGGCAGTTACCACCAAGCCTGATGACCTGAGTTCTTTCTACATGGGAAGAGGAAAGAACTGACTCTCATAAATTATCCTCTGGCCTCCACATGTGTTTTTGTGACATGTATGCCCCAATCCCAATGAATGTAATAAAAAGTGTTTTTAAAGTTGTCATTTAACCCTCTTTACATGTGTAGTTCAGAAATGGTGAGTGCTTCCACGTTGATGTGCAACCCATCTCTGAGGCTCTTCATTCTACAAACAGAGCCTCCATATCCATGAACAGACTCCCCCATCCTCCCTTGCCTACACCCTGGCCTTCAATTGTTTACTTTCCATCCCCATGGATTGGCTGATCTAGACACCTTATATACATGGACTCTCACAGCATCCTTTTGTGAAATTTTACTTAGCATAATGTCTTCAGGGTTCACCTATACTGTGGCTTGTACTAGAGTGGCCATCATTTTTAAGGATGGAAAATATTTGACCTCTGTGAGGATTGCTGGCATGAACATGGGAACATAAGTGTGCCTATGAAGTCCTGAATCTAAGCTCTTTGGGGTACAGATCCAGAAGCAGAAATGCTGTATTACATGGTGACCCAATTTCAATTTTTTTTAAAAGCAATCATCATAGTTTTGCATTTGGCTTAAACTTGGCTGCACATTATACTCATGTGAAGATTTTTACAAATGACTTCTGTTTGATTTCCCTGCCAGGGAAGACCCTCCAATTCCAGGTGTTCTCTCAGTGGCTGCATTCTGAACCACAAAAGACTGCTTGGGGAGGGCACACTGGCAAGGAATGACCTCAATCAATTCTGGTTTGAGATATTCAGGAAGTCACCTCCTTAAATAAATAAAGGAGTCAGTGTTTCCTCCTCCAGGTTTCAATTTATTTGTCTTGGGATTTGGCTGGTCCTCCAAATCTTTCAAAAGCCCCTTAGTGGAAGCTGGGCATGGAAGCATGCACCTTTACTCCCAGCACTCAGGAGGCAGAGCTAGGTAGGTATCTGTGAGTCTGGTCTACATGAAAAGTTCCAGGACAGCCAGGGCAACATAGTGAGACTTTGTTTCAAGTAAATACCACCTTCCTCAAACAAACAACCAAACAGCATCATCATCATCATCATCATCATCACCACCACCACCACCACCTACAACAACACCTCCTTTATAAGATTTGAGAACCGCCGGGCGGTGGTGGCGCACGCCTTTAATCCCAGCACTCGGGAGGCAGAGCCAGGCGGATCTCTGTGAGTTCGAGGCCAGCCTGGACTACCAAGTGAGTTCCAGGAAAGGCGCAAAGCTACACAGAGAAACCCTGTCTCGAAAAACCAAAAAAAAAAAAAAAAAAAAAAAAAAAAAAAAAAAAAAAAGATTTGAGAACCACTACTTCCTTATTTTTCTCAGAAAGTTTGGGCTACTTTGCTAGAATGATGGGCTCCAGCTGGGTAGGATTTTGTGTATGACTGGTATGTCTGTGTCGCCATATGGTGACTCAGCCCAGCTCCAGGGCAGTGTCACCTCCAAACCACCAGGCACATCAGATCCTCATTAGCCACCAGTATGAAGACAATGATTCTCCCACCCCCATGGCTT